TAGCTATTAGTCTAAGACTTTTAAATAGTTTTATTAGTATAGATGCAGCTCTATTCTGAAGTTTTTAGAAGATTCCATTAAGTAGTTATTGAGATGCAGGGGTATAGTTTCTGTGTTTTTTGGTGGGATTTTAAGTGACCGGTTTGGTGATATGACTGGCTTGGTGATAGAGTACGTTAGCGTTTGTAATAACAACATACATAACTTTAATAAAACTAGGTTCTAGATAGGTGTTGCTTTGTCTTTAAAGGTTGTAACAGGCTTAGAGAGACGTGCTTGGCTAGAGCTTGTTCAGCCAGGCGATTGCAAGTAGGTTACCATTATCTAGAGCATCTGCGCTGCTAGGTATGCAACCCTGCCTTTTATTATCTACAAAGGATGCGTCCACATCTCTGCCTAGTATAAGGAGACAGATATACCCTACAATTAGAAGCTCTTAGTCTCTAAGAATAGTTAGATAAATAACGTGCTTAGCCTTAAGTAGTTAAAGCACTTTAACACGCATACAAAGACGCGTTAGGTAGGAGTGTACAGGTTGCTTATCTTAGACAGCTATAAGAGCTATCTTAACTAGGAGTTTAAGGACTATTACCTAGAGAACTAAATCCTTACTCTCTATATACCGTGTCCGTGCGCACAACGCCCGGAGCACAACATCTACACCAAACTTCAACGCGTGAGAACTCAACCACCATGACAGGAATTTCAGATGCGCTTGCAGAGATTGAAAACCTGAAGCCAGGAGACAAACTTGTATATACACATATTGCAGAAAAACATGGTGTTGATCGCTCTACGTTGTCGCGCGCGCACCAAGGCGTGCAGGGTCCCCGACGCGTTGCCCACGAAAACAAGCGCAAACTCAACAAGCAACAGGAAGCAGATCTAGTTAAGTATATAGAAGAGTTGTCAGCGCGTCACTTACCACCTACAAGGCGTATGGTACAAAATTTCGCATCCTCTGTTGCCTTACAGCCCTGCTCCGATAGCTGGGTTAATCGCTTCCTGCACCGTCACCGCGATCAGCTCACGTCCCAATGGGCCACTGGCATGGACTCTAATCGCCACAACGCTGAGTCAGCGTACAAGTATAAGCTATACTTCGAGCTTCTGCAGCAGAAGATTACCCAGTATGAGCTTGAGCCAGAGCACACATACAATATGGATGAGAAGGGCTTTGCGATAGGGGTGCTGGGTAGGAGTAAGCGGGTGTTCAGCAGGCGTCAATATGAGAAGAAGGAGGTTAGGCAGGCTCGTCAAGATGGCTCACGTGAGTGGGTGAGCCTCTTAGCTACTATCTGCGCTGATGGTACTGCTCTTCCCCCAGGCATCATCTTTGCGTCAAAGAACTCTACTATTCAGAGTCGCTGGGTAGCAGATATCCACCCAGGAAAGCACTCAGTTCACGTCGCCTCTTCGCCCTCTGGATGGACAAACAATGAGATAGGATTAGCCTGGCTTGAGCAGGTGTTTGACCGCTACACTAAGCCAAAGGCGCGGTTAAAGTACCGCCTCTTAATTGTAGATGGCCATGGGAGTCACCTTACGCAGAGCTTTATTGAATACTGTCACCAGAAACGGATTATACTGGCAGTGCTACCACCTCACAGTACCCAGACTCTGCAGCCACTGGACGTAGTCTGCTTCAAACCTCTCTCCTCCAACTACGCCTCTGAACTCGACAACTACCTCCAGGCATCTCAAGGCCTTGCGCCACTGTCTAAGGGTGACTTCCATGCCCTGTTCTGGCCTGCCTGGGTAAACACGTTCAAAGAAGACCTTATATTAAAGGCCTTCACAGCTACTGGTATCTCTCCAATAGATCCCAATCCAGCCGTAGCGAAGGTGTAGCATATACTAGTGTGCTCATTAGGGATCCAGAGGCCTTTAAAGCCTTCACCCAACTCACTCAATACTACACCAAGGTCTGCCCCCAGTAGCTCACCCTGTGCTGCGACAACAGCAAACAACCGTACTCTTTCCTCACTCTCCTTCTTACTCTCCCTCTCTCTTCTACTCTCACGGCATTCTACTGCCTTTGAACACACAAAAGGGATTCACCCTAATGTATCTACACTGCTTAGTCTCCCCAACTGGCGGGGGAGCTGTAGCTTAAAACGGTAGCAATACCCGCGCAGGCAAGAAATGCTTTCTAAGGTAGTGTGTTAGCACTGTAATCCCATAGCTCAGCACGTCGTATATGCCCTTCGGGAGGCGAGATAGTGGACTTTATCCCTATTATCTAGACGTAAAATGAATACCAACCAACCAACCAACCAATCCAATAGATCCCAGCATCCGCCCTCAACCAACTATCTACACTGACCCGTCCACCTCAGAGAGGGAAGACGTCAGCATGAGCGATGACCCACCATCATCATGCTAGAACACCCCCACATCACTCCAGCCTCTAGCAGGCACCGACAACCCAGCCTCCGTGTATGCTGGGCCAACGTTGGCAGGTGCTCACCCTGGCACATCACACTACTAGAAACAGCCTATCAGAAAGGCATAGACGTTGTGTGCGTTCAGGAGCCCTTCACATGCGCCAAATCTAGAACCTCTACCCATCCTGGTTTTACGCACGCTGCACCTATTAGCACCTGGGACAACCCTAATGCGGCAGGCTCTACCCGCCTGAGGGTTATGACATACATCCGCAAAGGACCACACCTACACTACCAGGCTAGAGAGAGCCTTAATCACCCAGACATGCTGTGGGTAGTAGTAAACAGAATCTCTATTCTTAACTGCTACAGGTGTCCCCACACTCCGCACGTTATCTAATATGTCTCCTGCCTTACACCCCCACATCTGTGCCTTGTAGGAGGAGACTTTAACGCTAGACACGAATCCTTTGAGCCTACTACCACTGCAGCTAATGGAGGGATGGAGCTTGCCAGGTGGGCTGCCAACGCCTCCATGGACTATATTGGGGTGCCAGGACAGCCTACACACAGCGCTGGCCACGTCCTGGATCTCACCTTCTCTAACATCCCTTTTGCCCAGTCTGCTGTTGACGCTAGCATGCACAGCGGCTCAGACCATGAGACAATAGTGACCTCTATCCCTATCTCCACACCGGGCACTCGGCACCTAGAGCAGCACCACTACAGAGTCCCAGAGGCAAACCTACCCAAGTTCACTGGGCTAGTAGAGATAGGAGTCCAGAACATCCCAGACCCGCTGGCCACACAGGAGGCATCACAGCTCGATGAGTGCGTTAGGCTGCTCACAGAGACTATAGAGCACGCGATACAGACAGCAGGCAGAGGCGCCCGTAAGGAAGGCCGCGCTGCACCTTGGTGGGCAGAGGAGTGCAAAACTGCCTACCAAGTCTACAAACAGGCGCGACAGCTCTGCTCTAGCTGTCTACCTAAAGTAAGACAGACCTTCAAGACTACAGTCCAACAGGCAAAGAGACAGTACTAGAGGCATGTAATTAACAACGCTAAGAATGACAAAGACCTGTTTAAGATTATTGCCTGGCACAAGCTCTTGCCAGAGAACCAAGACGCTCCGCTTGTAGTAAACAACGTGGCCATATCAGACCCCCTAGAGAAGGCAGAGGCCCTCAGAGAGGAGGTCCTCAACCGGTTTGGAGCAGAGGACGACCTCAGGCACTGCCCAGACCAGGAGAATGCAGATACCCTCCCGTGGAGCACGCACATCTCACTAGAGGAATGTGAGCGAAATACAATAGGGGTCTCCAGCACCTCCCCAGGCACCGATCGCTCTACTGTGCGACTACTCCGTGCCTGCTGGGCTCAGGTTAGGGAACT